TCTTAACATTAATAAAACACAATGAATCGACTCAGTTTAGAGATCCTCAAATAAAATCCTTGCTATATATAATAATAGGTAGATTTGTTGTTTTGTGCATCCCTAAAATTGGTTTGAGCTACAACGAAGCATTGCAACGTTAGTTCCACCTGACAATATACATCTTGGGGAAAAAAATCTTAATCTTAAATAATTAATCTTGGATTGTTTTAAAATATGTACAGTATAAGTTCATCCATCCATCCATCCATACATACATCCATTATCTTTACCCGCTTCTTCCTTTTTGGGTCATGGGGATCACTGGTGCCCATGTCCAGCTATCACTGTACGAGAGACGGGGGACACGTTAGACAGGTCTCCAGTCCATCACTGTGTATAAGTTAATTTTTAAGAAAAACAAAAAAACTTCTCACAAAAAACATTAAAGCTGGAAAGAAGCATGTTTTATCTGTTTTAATTGTGAACTTTGTCATCCTGTTTTTTTCAGGTTTTACTGGACCTCCAGGAGAACCAGGACTTCCAGGCATAGGTGGGAGTGGTCCTCCTGGACCTCCGGGTTTCCCAGGAGATAAGGGTCCAAAGGGAGACCCTGGAGCTCCTTCCATTTCTTTGCCAGGTACTCCTGGAAGGCCAGGGACTCCTGGGGCTGCTGGTCCACCAGGGCCCCCTGGACCTCCGGGTTTCTCCACCACAGGCCAATCCTGCATCCCTGGGGTCCCAGGATCTCCTGGGATCCAGGGAGAAAGAGGTTATCAAGGAGAGCAGGGGCACAAAGGTGAGAAGATACATGATTCTGCAGATTGAGTCATGAAAACTCAAACATAGATATTCATCAGAAATATATAACTTATTGTCTCTCAGTGACACCAGTGTTCTCATGGTCTTTCAGGGCAGAAGGGCGAGACATGTGTGAACTGCTTCGGAGGAACCAATCCCGTTCCCGGACCACAAGGACCTCCAGGACAACCTGGATATCCTGGTTAGAGCGAGCCACGTGACTTCTGTCTTATTCTTGCCACAAAATACACATAAATTTATTAATTTAACTTTAGTCATTCTGATTTCCTGTGATGGCACTGATGGGATCTCAGTGACTTCAAATCTACAGATCTGAACCATTTGACCCTGGCTCTGTCCAAAGTCTTATGTGCACTGACTGATTTTCTATTGTCCTCTTTAACAAAACTCTTTCAAGCCAGACATTTTATGCGTAATGCTCCTTATCTAAGTCACACTATGTTACACTTTGCGCCTGCTATGGTTCTGTGGTGCTGGCACCATCTTTGAAAACTCTCATCATCATGGAATCAATGATTTTCAATCAACTTAAAGAAATGCGAAAATTTTCTATAAATAATTCAACTTTAGTTGCATTTATCACTGAGGGTGTTTCTTTAGTCAGTCATGGTGAAACGAGAGTTGAGTCGAAAGGCAAGTCTTCTAGATGTTCTGGTCCGTCAATGTTCCAACCCTCACCTGTGGTCATGAGGTTTGGATCATGTCCAAAAGAAGGAGATCCTGGATACCACTCAACAAAATGAGTTTTTTTTTTTTTCATAAGGCGACTGAATAAAGAGCAAAATGAAGAGCTTGGAGTAGAGCTGCTGCTTCTTCATGTCGAAAGGAGTCGGTAGAGGTGGTCCAATCATCTGATTAGCAGCGTTTCCCCTAGATCAGTTGCCTTGGCGGTGCGCTCGTTGTATTTTATTTTTTGTGTCCGGGGGGGGATGAGGATGGGGAGGAGTCATGTTTGTGTTGCCCGCCTCAACAGGAGGATCACATCTGTGTTTAACGCTACATTGCTGCAGTAATTGTCAACAACGGGGTAGTAGCAAAGCGGAGTGGTACGTAAGTAGCATTTTGCTAGCATGTTTGTATTGCCCCCTGCGCTACATCAATACCAACAGCTGTCAATGGGGGGGGTGTCAGTAGGCGGGGCGCTCGGTTCTGTTGATGGGGCGGGGCGGCCTGCTTGTATAATGGTAGGGGTAACACTGGATTAGGATGCCTCTTTTTGGGGATTCTATGGGCATATCCCACTGGTAGGAGGCCTTGTTCCAGACCCAGAACTTGCTGGAGGGGTCATTTATATTCTCTGGCCTGGGAATGTCTTTGGGTCCCCCAGGAGGAGCTGGAAAGTGTTGCTTGGGAGAGGGATGTCTGGGTTTCTCTTCTGGAATTATATATATTGAAATTGTGCACTTGTGTTATTGTTGAATATTACGATACTGATATCAGTCACAATGCACCCTTGTTTTCCTCTTCCTTTATTTTTTTCACTGTTATCGCCGCACTCTTTAGTGTTGCTTTAGCATTTCAGCTACATTCTTCTACATCAGCTGTGGGCAGTTGTAATGGTGGGGTTCATCGGATTGCTAGTTGTAATTTATTGCGATACAATATTGATATTTCGCACTTTTACATTGCAATAATAATTTTTTTCATGTATTTTGCAGCCTTGATTGGATAAATAATATTTTTTGTTACTTATAGTCAAAACACAAACCTACAGATTTGTGGTTAGCCTCTCTCCGTCTCCTAAATGAATTTAGTTTAATCTAAGGAGTTCATGATGAACTGGATTGTCTGTTGTTTAAGTTGTCAGAAATTAATTCAGGTATTAAAACTGTAAAGATACTAGAAAAGACACTTACTGGTATATGTTGTTTTGCTGTTCTTTTTTTAACAGGAACTCCTGGCCAACAAGGTATCAAGGGAGAAAAAGGATTCCCCGGAACTCCCGGTCTTGGCGGCCCTCCTGTAAGTACTTTATTATTTCTGCAGGTAGTGGCACTTGGCAGTTTTTGAAGTCTGTAATGGTTTAAAAGTAGAAGAAGAAAACCTAATTCATTCATTTTCTATACCTGCTTGTTCAGTTTACTCTTGAAGAACACTAGTTTACCCTGATGGTTTGATTAAAACAACTTTTAATAATCAGAGAGGAAAGAGTTTTATAATTTGGGGGGGGGGGGGGGGGGTCTGAACCACTTCAGCCTTGGTGTTCTCAGGCTGTTTCTGTGAGTAGCAAATTGACCATCTGACCTTAAACATTTGATTGTTACCAGTATATATGATGACTGATTGTTTTGGAAGGGCGTGTTTGCAAGTGTTGAAAGTAGGGATGCACCGATCCACTTTTTTTTACTTCCGATCCGATCCCGATACCTAGATCTAAATATCGGCCGATACCGATCCAGTTCCGATATCATGATCATCATAGATTTTATATGAGGCTGTAATAATCCCCTCTCAAGTACAATTTGTACAAATCTGTACATGCATGTACAAAAAGGCAACTTGAGGTAAGTTCTATTAAAGTTGGATAAGTTTTAAAGTTAGAATTAAATTCTGCTAACACAAAACATGTTTCTTTTTATTCCTAGTTTTAACGTGGATATTAAAGTGATTAATTTAAATGATTGTTTAAAGTTATTTTATATTTTTTTAAATAAGGGGCAGATATAAGAATTGTTTTTCTTCTTTCTGCACTCTTTTCATTCAATCTTTTCTTTTTGATGATTTATTTTTATTTTTATTTTGTTTCTTTTAAATTAATGAATAAATGAATTAAATAAAATAAAATGTTAAATGGCTTTAAACACCTGCTAAGTTCATGGCATAAACCAACAGGCATGTTCTTGTTTTTAGTATTTTACATCACTTTATTATGTAGCTGTTTTTGTTTTTAATATAATTTTCAAATCATGTTTTGTATGATTACTGTTGTACTGATAAATATCTCCTGGAGGGTAAACTATATCTTGGCTGCAAGTATCAAGCTGTGAAATCCTTCGTTTTCTACAACTGATAGTGGTTGGTCATTAATTATGATGAAGTTTAACAACTTCTCTGTAAACATTTGAGCTCCGTGGTTTCAGCGACGTCTACTTCTTGTTCAATCCGAAGCAAGCAGCCTGATTTGGGGCAGCCGCGCTCAGTCTGTCCCTCCTCAGAGACGGGCAGACTGAGCGGGGCAGATTGGACGCGGCTGGCCGGGGTCGAGTCGCCTGTTGTGGGTTGAGCAAAGAGCAGCGCCCCGCTGAAGACACGGAGCTCGAATGTCCATCGTAAAACTAACTTTAACGTGGTTTAATGTGTTGCTATGGCTCTGCAGACATTGCACGTTACTGTCTTGTTCTGTGTTTCTAGTGTAAAATACTTCCACACAGCGGACATGTTTCGATGAAAAGTTTGTTAGCTGTTAGCCACAGTGCTAACTCAGCCCTCACGTTGTAGCTGGCTGCAAACTATGAACTGGATTTCCTGAATGTGAGGCGGGTCTTATTACTCTGGGTTCATGAGACACGCCGTCGTTCAGGAAATCCATTCCATAGTTTGAAGCCAACATGCATCATGGATCGGAAATATCCGCATGTGGATCGGAAAAATCTGATGCGTAAATTATGCTGGTATCGGAGGCCGATGCCGATACTGGATCGGATCGGCCCCATCCCTAGTTGAAAGCCTATTTCTGAGATTCCAACTGGAGGTTGGCTTGAAACACAGCAGTGAAGGCTATCTATGGAATAGATCTGGTATAGAGATGCATCGATCCGATACCAATATCGGTATCTGTGCCAATATTGGGGAAAAAAACAAAAAAAACTTCTGGATCGATTATTGTGACAACGTGACCGATCCATGACTGGGCAGATCTATTCACTCCAATTCTATGCTTTGTGCTCTGAGTGACGTCACGTGCTAGCGAACTGACTGAACATATTAATGTTGTGTTGTTTTTAAATGTTTGGCCAAGCTTGTGAAGCTCTTGGTGTATTTAAATGTGCTGTTATGGTGCAGAGTTTTCAATAAATTTGTCATTCAGCACATAAAACAAATGTTTTAAGTTAATTCAGCACTGGGTTTGTAAGCTCAATCATCCAGGGAGACAACAAAATGGCTAAATGATGTCATCTGGACCTGTTTCAGAAACGGGTCCAGATGACATCATTTAGCCATTTTTGTTAATTCAGCACAGTTTTTCTGTATCGGATCGGTACCAGATCGATATCGTCCGATACTAAGTAACCGGTATCGGGATTGGATCGGAAGTGAAAAAAGTGGATCGGTGCATCCCCAATCTGGTTGACAGGCCATAGACTGATGAAGTCTTCCAGATGGGAGATGAAATGTTTCTCACTTAAACAAACTGGTCCAAATAACACAATTTAACCTTGTTTGTCGTTATCTACCTGGCTGACTGATCTTACAAACCTTTATTCCATGAAATGGTCACACAGATCAGTCAGCTCAAAACATACAGATAGAACTGACCACGCCCTGCACAGATGTGTTTTTAGAAATAAAGAGAACATCAAAAGATGAAGCAGAACTCGGCTATGGTGAAGTGGAGCGCAACATACCCGTATCATTTTCAAAACATGAAGAATTAACTCGGTTCAGCAATCCTCTTTGTGGGTAACTAATTTTTAGAACAGTACAAAGTTACCGTGTATCATCATTGATGTCCCGATACACGCTCAATAATCAAGGTCGATAAATCTATCAAGGTTGAGTCAGGTTCTCATTTTGTCTTTTATCCAAAAGACTTCTTCAGTCTGAGGCGCTGCAACAAACTCAGTCTTATAGTGGATCAACCAGTTTGCTGGTGACAGACAGAACTAGCTGTTCAGGTAAAAGCTAATGGAAGACCGATGCTCCTTCTTTAGCATGTGAACAGCTAGTTTTGGCTGTCATCAGCAAACTTGTCGATCCACTTTGAGAAGGTGCTACTTTTAAGGCTGAGTTTGCAAAAAGACGAAACGTCTCAACAAAGAAGAAGGTAGGCTCGATAGACTCAGTGCAGTGTGAATGTGAACCGCACCGACTGAAAATGTAAACAAATGTTCTGAATTTTGATTCCCAATCGAACTGAGTCTCCCGGACTATCGGGTGTGAAAACAACCTAGTGTTTATATTATTTTTTTATGCTTGCTTTCTTCTAGAATATACCTCGATAGTTTGTCAGTCTACTATATTTAGAAGCATAATGCTTCATCAGAACCTTAAAGTTAATCTGATCAAAAAGTTATGAAAATAGTTTAAATAGGGATTTTTGCCAACAACAAAAAGAACGATAAGCTTCTAACGCAAATCAAAAATATCTTTTTAGTCCTTTACATTTAGTTTCACTTTTAGCATGCTCAATTCTACAGATTTTTACTACTTCGATGCTTCAACGTCCATGTTGTTGGATGTGAATTCAGTGACAAATGATAACCTATAAAAAAAAAGAAAAGATACGGTAAACACCAGTTTGCACTGTGAATTACATCTTTTCATAATTTGGTTGACCCAAACGATGTACAGCAGTTTGGTTTTTAGGTTAGGTGTAAAAGACACCAAATTATATATTTAAACTCACAGTCTTTCATATTTCTTTCATATTAATGCTTATTAGTTGTTGCCGTTTTTAGATACAAGGTAAAGTTTTGTTGATAGTCAAATAAACTTGTTTGAAATCCTTTGTTACTTTTATTATTTCCTTTCTAGGGCCAGCCTGGTCCTTTAGGTGCTCCAGGCCTCCCTGGAGAGAAGGGAGACCCAGGTGAAGCCCTCACAGTCTCCGGTCTTAAAGGAGTTAAGGGAGACACGGGTTTCCCTGGACCGTCTGGTCTGCCTGGTCTGGATGGTCAACCTGGACGTGATGGACAACCTGGACTTCCTGGTCCCAAGGGAGTGCCTGTAGGTGGCTTTTATCATTCATTATTCATATTAGAGATAGACATTTCATGCCAAAGTACTCTTGGAAAATCATTTGTAATTTTGGGGATATTTTTTCAATATTATCCCCTACACCCTTCCACCCCCACACAGCACAAACATGGATATTGTAAAGACAAAGCTGCTGGTTTTAGAAAACCTTTTAAATGTTCACTGATCATAACTAAGGTGCTATAACAGAATTCTGAACAACAATAAATCCAAAACATATCTGAGTGAAGACTGCGCTGACATGGACATTCATTTATCCTGTTCATCCTAACGAGCTGTAATGTTAGCAACTGTTTTATGATTTAGGACGGTTGCCTGTTTCCTATTTTTGTTTCAAGAAAACTAACGTGGCCACATGGTTAATGTCAAGATTTGGAATGAATCCAGTCTCTTTACCACAAGTTCTGCTTTTGTAAATCTGTCAGATGGAACAGAAATTGCAGATACACACATACTTCATACGCCTCTGTTCATTCCGGCAGTCGAAGATCTTTATGTATACCCTGGTGGATCAGTGTAGACGAGTGGGTCAAGTGTTCTGGCAAGTACAGTAAGGTGCAGTCATGGTTCCAGGCATGTATGGTGCCACAAAAATGCACTCTAGCTATTAAAAGCCTTGTGACATATGGCAAACATTTTAAAGTCGTATTGGCAAACATGCTACTATTGGAAGCAGTGGGAAAAACAAACAAAACAACACTTTTTAAAAGGATAGTACCATAAAATGTCCAAATGTGTATCCAATTATTTTTAAATACTTGCCCATCTTTAATGTACCCAGTCATTATTATAACTCACGTCACAAATGTGGCCTGTAGGGCTCTTTGTTGCTGAAAGGAGAAAGGGGGCTTACTGGTGAGCCAGGTTTTCCTGGCATTCCTGGAGACAGAGGTCCCCCAGGTCCCCCTGGCTTTGGACTTCCAGGACCATCAGGAGATAAAGGTGTTCAAGGCATCTCAGGGAGACCTGGCACTCAAGGTGTACCAGGTAAGAAAAAAAACTCCACTGTATATCTTAATGGCTGTATTTGTGAGATCCAAGAAACATTTAGTGTTTGATTCTTTGCGTAGGTTCTAAAGGTGAACCCGGACTGACGATAGCAGATAAAGGTCAACCAGGACCCCGTGGGCAGGATGGTCAGCCTGGGCTGACTGGTGCACCAGGTAAACAGTCTCACATGTGGAGTAAATAGCTTTATTCTGTTAAGGATAACTACAATAATGCTCTGCCTGTTATCAGGTTCCCCAGGTCAGCCTGGTCAACCTGGTTTTCCAGGTTTACCAGGACCAAAGGGTGATCCAGGAACATCAGGAATTGGGCTCCCAGGTCCTCCAGGAGCTAAAGGTAAAAACTACTCATTTTATCCTACCCTTTATCTACTTGTTACTTCTCTGTATGAATCTTTACATCTCCTGGTCTCCTTTTGGATTCTCGTGACATTGTTAATCTTTTGCCAGGATTCCCAGGTATTGCTGGCCAGCCAGGAGCTCCTGGAAAACTAGGAAGACCAGGTATAGATGGATTCCCCGGCCAGCCCGGTTTTTCTGGTCCCAAAGTGAGTATATTAAGTGTACCTAGTCTAGACAAAAAGTTTATTATAACCCAGAACAAAAGACGGCTAGTGGTTGTTTTTGTTGTGGATATACTGTAGCTATTAAATGCTCTTCTGATTCTTCTCTACCTGACTGGTTAAAATGAACCGTTTGGTATATTTGATAGGGTGAACCCGGATTTGGGCTTCCTGGTCCACCAGGTTTACCGGGACAACCTGGACCTAAGGGTTTCACAGGACCAAAGGGAGACTCTGGTTTCCCTGGAAATCCTGGTGCACCTGGACGGCCTGGTTTTGACGGAACTATAGGATCAAAAGGTACAGTGCGTTGTACAAACGTGTGTATTTTTAATGATTGTGCAACTATTTGAGTTTTACAAAGATACCAAACCCTCTCAGAGTGCTTATTTGACAGCCACATTCGTATTTGTCCTTGTTCAGGTGAGCCTGGTACACCTGGTATACCTGGCACTCGTGGGCAACCCGGATTACCTGGTATTGGTTTACCAGGACCTACAGGTCCTCCAGGACCTCAAGGCCCTATAGGACAACCAGGTAAGGCACACAAAATAAGAGTAAGGTTTATTTGTTTGTTTGTTTGTTTGTAGGATTGTAACATGCAAAATAGGGCTGTGACGGTACGCTAAAATCACATTTCGGTTCGGTTCAATTTCGAGGGCTCAGTTCGGTTAATTTTCTGTTCAAAAAAGGCCAAAATAAAGACTTACAAAATGTTTATTTTAAAAATATGCCAAGTAAACAATACGTTTGTATAAAAATAAATGAAAGCGACCCATTTGGATGATATTTTAAATAAACGGCACTCTTTCCAATAAATAAACTATACTAACTAATAAAATCTTAAATACAATACCAGTCAGAACCAGAACAATAAGCAGCAACAGACTGTTTACAATCTAACTAATCAAGTTTTAAGTTTTTGGCCAAAAAGACCAACTTGTCCACATTTTCTGCCATAAGCACATATCTAGTTGCAGTGACAATATGACAAGTGATCCTGTGCACATAATTTTGTCCCACCTCATGTACCACATGTGATGTGAATGACAATAAAGGCACCTTGACCATGAATATCTCCAGCGGTGGAGAAAACTGCTCACTAGCAACAGAGATAGAAGGGCACCCTGAAGCTCTGTACTCATGAACCTCTTCTTGGACCTGCTCCGAAAGGGACTTGCCAGTTCCCACCTGTCCCTGGAAAAGTTCATAGTTCAGTCATCACAGACTTCTCAGCTGGAGGTGATCTGGTGAATGATTTCCCTGAAGAGGAACTCAATGACATCCTCAGACTGCAAAAGCACAAAGAGGTAAAACAAATTGAGTTAATAAGATTATAATTTTAAATTTAAAAAGTTAATTAGATCATAATAATGCAATAACAATAATAATACAATACCATTACCTCTTCTTGAATGGTTGTTATGAGGTGGTTGAATCTCTCAGTCATCATCATCAGGACAGGGCTTTAATCTGGTCCAGGCTTGTTGACAATATCAGTTTTAGCTTTTTCATGAAGTGCTGCTACAACTTTTTGGCTCAAGTGTTGACATGATGGGATGTTGTAGCGGGGCTCAATAACTTTAATGCCGGCGCATCAACAACAGAATACAGGCATAGAGCCACAGCTATAAAAACTCCTACAGCTTGTGTTATTGCTCTGGACCGATCTGAATTACCTGATAAAGGTTGTTTAAATGCTGCTGTTATTGGTCTTTGCAACAAGCTGCTTTTCTTGCTTGTAGAAGAGACGTTCACGTTCAGATGATGTCGTTTCAAGTGCGTAAACAAGTTAGACGTGTTGCCTGCTGCAAATCCAATCTCCGTGAAACAACGTCGACACACAGCTTTGGATTTGTTCACTTGTCTTTCAACAACTGACTCTTGCTTGGGTTTGTTGAGTTAATTTTAAAGCAAAAAAATCACTGTTTTGGGTGTGTTGCTAATCCAGGCATGTGTACCGATTCGAGTTTGACTCCTCTGTCATTGGTTACCTCACTATTGGATAGCCACAATTTGTATATCTGAGGAGCTGTTAACATCCTCACCTTAGCTTAGCATTTAGTGGAGTGACACATCTTGTCTTTTTGGTTCATCAAGTCACCTTCAGTAATTTCACTTTTATTCCTTGTTCCTTTGCTCCAAACCCATCTCAATTTTTCAGTTTGTACAACTCAGAATCACAGGATTTTTTTTCCAAGCCTGACTATTGCAACGTAACACAAGTCTGTATCTCACTGGGCTGAGACTCTTGGCAACCAGTTGGAGACACATAAGTGCAATAAAATATGCAACTTTTTTTTGTTTAAATCACACGAATCTGCAACTTAAAACACAGTTACGTACCTATGTAGCTTTGATTAAATTGCACAACACTCCTGGGGGCTATGTACAAATTCTCTTGCCTCGGTTTAGTCACAAATTTTCTCCAATAAGTCACTGTTTGGTTTCAAGTCACCAAATCCTCTCAAAGTTGTCTCACATTTCTCACACTTTTTGACTAAACTTAGTGGAGATGAGTTTCAGGTGGGTTTAAGATGCCAGCAATGACTCTGTGGCTGTTATGAGAGATAAATTTATTTGCATGTTTTTAAAACGTCTTCAAAATTCCAGCGGCACGAAAGCAAGGCCCTGCTACTTCAGGAAGTAAATTAAAAGCTCTTGCAAATGTTTTTCAATTTTCTGGAAACTCCTTCGTCAATGATGTTTGCAGTTTGTCGCCAACAGTCAGATTCTTGTTTTAAACGTGGCCTATCTCCATAATCTAACACCACAGAGTGTCACTTCACCAGGACTTGCATCAGCATGTTTTAACTCTTTCACCAACACATTTTGTAATGAACACAACCATGTTGCACAAAGCAAACCAAAAACTTTGGAACACTCTCAGCACACATCAATTTCTAGACACGTACGTTTTTTGTTACGTCGATGCTGTTTTCCCCTTGCACATATTCAGAGCCTTACAAAAACAGCAGCTCACATGTCTAAATGCATTAAATGGATTAAACTTTGCTCTTTTCGGCTCATCTGCTCTGCACCTTGAAACACACCTCGTTACTTGCGACCTTTTGGCGTCAAGGCGAGAAAGGTATCGTAACCCAATACTAGAATCAGCTGATGGTAAATAAATGGTGGCAAACGTAACAAAGATGTTACATTATACTATAGAATAAAATTATTCATGTTTAATCAAATCAGAATTGCGCCGCTCAAGGTGGCTGCATGTTGGAGCAGCTCTGTTAATTTCATTCTGAGGTTTTGCTTTTGGAAACTTTAATTCCTCTTTTTCTGGATGTAAATCACATTTTTTGGATGATTGTTTCCTCTGGTATCGGATGTTGTGCAGCTGGAAGGATTTTTACTGAAACTTTTTTAGTTTTGGACATTTGTTATGATGCGTAACCATGGCAACAAGGCAGTTTTCTACAACCAACAGCAGCTGATTAACATCTCAAAAGCTCAAATAATATCTCAACTATGGCCCCAAATCTCAAATGAGTTGAAAAGGATGTTCTGTGGACGCATTCTCATCTACCTGCCAGCTGTGCTCGAGTGCCTGACCACTGAGATCCTGGAACTAGCAGGAAACACGGCTCATGACAGTGGAAGGAAAGGATCGTCCCTTGGCACCTACAGTTGGCTGTCCGCAGCGATGAGGAGCTCAGCAGACTGCTGGGAGGAGTGGTCATCGCTCTGGGAGGAGTTCTGACCAGCATTCGGGCGGTCCTACATCCCGGGGGAATCAAGAGGCCAGCTGAGTCTGGGTGGACGGATCGGACGGCATCTGCAGCCAGTTTCTTAGGATCCACTGTGGGATGGACCTTTACAATAGATCCTTCCGGTCTACAGCCATCAGTATCTATAACATCTCTTAATGAAACGAGGATAACGAGCTACAGCAACAAATAATTTCCCTTTGGGATTAATAAAGTATTTTTGAATCGAATTGAATATCTGTCCGTTTATTGTGCTGCCAATTTAAAACATTTATTTTGCGTCTCACACAGATTTTAACTACAGCTCAGCCAATTTCACGTCTATTTTTTAATTCTAGACCCTAAACAACTGACTCAAAGGTGACTGGGCTTTTTATTTGTATTTTAAAGATGTCTCACTTGTCCTCCATGGAAGTTTTTTTTAACATCTTCAAAAGAAACCCAGTTGCCTTTGATTCAGCTTTCTAGGAAGGTCATGTCTTGGATGCATATCCACACTAAAGATGTTTTTAAAAAGAGTTTTTCTTGTGTTTACATCTTCCGTTAAGGATTCTGGGTTATCTTGACTTCTGCACACATGTTCATAGGAACTTGATATTTGTGTTATGAACAAAATAAAAAGCCTAACTGTCTAAACTGTTCACTTGAGTTGTACCTGAGTTTTGCGTTTTAAAGGGATTAAGGTTGTGGTCACTTGAGGTGAATAAACTTTACTAAACTTAAGTGGAAAAATCATCCTATCTTTGCAGAAGAAGGAGATATTAAGAACTTGTTTCAATATGTGGAAATTAAATGTATGTCATCTTTATAGGATACCCTGGAGCAAATGGACAAAAAGGAGATCCCGGTCCTCCAGGTCTAGACATACCAGGTCTACCAGGAGACAGAGGAGATCCTGGTTTCCCAGGTCTTCCTGGATCAATAGGACCACCCGGAGGACCTGGAGGACCTGGACGGGATGGAATACCTGGAACGTCAGGTAATATTTTTTAGACTTCGTACAGTGTAGCTAACATTTGTTGCTAATTTGCTGAGGGTTGATCGTTCTGTGGAAACATAGCATTCCTATGGAAATGTATATCATCCACTGCCTTTCATGGGAAACATTTACACTAAGATTTGTGTTATGTTGGGAAATGACAGCTATAGCCATTTTGATCGAGCTTTGAAAATAGTTATACGTTTAAATTAAAATTTGAACACTTGATGGTCAATGCCTCAGTCTGATCCTGAGGTTGCAGGTTCTAGCCCAGGTTGCATCAGGAAGGGTATCCTGCATAAAACAATTGACAAATCTTTTATGTGAGTTTGCTCACTGGCAAACCCTGAAGAAGGATGCAGACAAAATAAACTGCTAGCACTACATACAATAGAGCACAAACACACACACACACACACACACACACAGGTAAAAGCTATTTTTATTGCCTTTTAGCCGCAGGTGATGAATCGTCTGCCAGATACTGTAGATGTGTTGGAACACCCTTTTTATGACTTTTATTGTATTTCTTTTTTAAAGATGTCATTCCTAGCCTGGTTCTACCTCATAGTGAGCTAAACTTTTAGCTAACTGGCTACTACACTGAACAAAAACATGAAAACTTTTTGTTTTTGCTTCCATTTTGAATGAGCAGAACTCAAAGATCTAAGACTTTTTTTCCTATGCACACAAAAGGAGTTTTTCTCTCAAATATTCACAAATTTGTGTAAATCTGTGGGGGAGCCGGGGTGTGCGCATGTGTGTGTGTGTCTGTGTGTGTGTGTGTGTGTGTGTCTGGCGTGACCACCACTTGCCCCACACAGTTTAACACATCTCCTTCACATAGAGTTGATCAGTGGCCTGTGGAATGTTGGTCCACTTCTCTTCAGTGACTGTGAAGTTGCTGAATATTGTCAGGAACTGGAACACGCTGTCGTATACGCTTATCCAGAGCATCTCGAACATGCTCAATGGGTGACATGTCCAGTGAATATGATGGCCGTGCAAGAACTGGGATGTTTTAAGCTTCCAGGAATTGTGTACAGATCCTTGCAACATGGGGCTGTGCATTATCATGCTGCAACATGAGGAGATGGTCGTGGGTGAATGGTACAACAATGGGCCCCTGGATCTCATCACGGTATCTCTGTGCATTCAAAACACCATCAATAAAATGCACGTGTGTTCGTTATCCGTAGCATACACCTGCCCATACCATAACCCCACCGCCACCATGGGCAACTCGATTCACAAGGTTGACGTCAGCAAACCTCTCACCTACACATCGCCATACACGCAGCCTGCCATCTGCCCTGTACAACCAGGATTAATCTGTGAAGAGGACACTTCTCCAACCTGCCATATGCCATCTGATGTGAGCATTAGCTCACTCAAGTCAGTTACAACAACAAAATACAGTCAGGTGGAGACCTTGGTGAGGATGACGAGCATGCAGAGGAGCTTCTCTGAGATGGCTTTGGACAATTTTTGCTAAACTTATTTGGTTGTTCAAACAGATTGTTGCAGCAGCTGACCGGGTGGCTGGACTCAGACGATCTTGGAGGTGAAGATGCTGGATGTGGAGGACCTGTGCTGGTGTGGTTATACGTGCTCTGCGGTTGTAAGGCTGGTTGGATGTACAGCCAAATTTTCTGGAAAGCCTTTGGAGATGACTTACGGTAGAGAAATGAACATTCAATTCATGGACAACAGCTCTGGTGGACACTCCTGCAGTCAACATGCCAACTCCTTCAAAACTTGCAACATCTCTGGCATTGTGCTGTGATAAAACTGCACATTTTAGAGTGGCCTTTTATTGTGGTCAGCCTAAGGCTCACCTGTGCAATAATTATGCTGTCTAATCAGCATCTTGATTGATATGCCACATCTGTGAGGTGGATGGATTATCTCTGTAAACGAGAAGTAAAGTTCTATGTGTTGTCATCATTGCATGTTCCCATACAATGGCAAAATTAGTTCTCTGCATTTAACCCATCACATGTGAAATACACCCAGGTGGAGCAGTGGGCAGCTATGTAAGCACCCGGGGAGCACTTAGGGATTTGGTGTCTTGCTCAGAGATACCACAACATGTAGGAATGGCGGTGGAGTTGAACCGCAACTTTCTGATCCCTAGTCGGCTGCCCTACCTCTACCCCATCTCGGACTCTGAGAAGTGCTCGGGGAAGTGAGAAGTGCTCACTAACACATATTTACACAAATTTGTGAACAATATTTGAGAGAAAAAGGTCTTTTGTGCACATAGAAAAAGTCTTAGATCTTTGAGTCCAGCTTATGAAAAATAGGAACAAAAACAAAGGTGTTAAGTTTATATTTTTGTTCAGTGTAATTGTCCTCCAATCAAAGAAATGGATGGCTTGCTGGTTTACTGTTTTACTTCTTTGCTGTTTTGTTTTTTTTTGTTTGTTTTTTTTTTTGGGGGGGGGGGGGTGAACTTATAGTAAATTATATTTCTGTTTTCCTCCTGAACCTGCTGCTCTCATTGCTCAGTTCTGGATTAGCAGCAGATAGTGGATGGATATTTTATTGTGATTTATTTTCCGTTCTGACATACCTTTGATACTGTCTGTTGTACTGCTGTAGGTCAGAAAGGTGACATAGGTCCCATGGGGCCTCCAGGACCTCCTGGTGGACCTGGCACACCAGGAGGGTCTGGTCTTCCTGGACATAAAGGTATCTACACACTTCATATTTCACTCTAAAGTAATTTCTTCATCCTTAATATACAAACTGTATATATATTAGACAAAGTCTATACGTCTATAAGTCTCTATTTCCGCACTATTTTCCCACTGGCATAAATGAATATGACTTCTGTTGTTGATAAAAGTAGACGGCAGCAGAAAGCACCCAGCAGGGCCAGGAAACACCATATTTACCAGTATTGCCAAAGATAAGCAAAGGGTCTCCCATAATTCATACGTTGATGCTCCACAGGTGAACCAGGATTTCCTGGGATAGATGGTGAACCAGGTGCCTCCGGGCTTAAAGGTGAGAAGGGGGATGTTGGCCCCCCGGGACCCCAAGGAAACCCTTTGCCAGTAACGTCTTCAAAGGGAGAAAAAGGAGATCATGGACTCCCAGGTACAACTAAAAACATCTGAACACCACCTCAAAGGTTAAATTTGATGTCAGTTAGAAACATACAGCTTGTTTTTTCCTGTATGGTCCCATTCATACTGAACTCCTCTGTGTGCAGGTCTGCCAGGACAGCCAGGACCGAAAGGTATCTCTGGTCTCCCTGGTGACCCTGGACTAGCAGGAGTAGATGGGCGCCCTGGAATTCCTGGACCATCAGGTAAGGGGTTCCCACTTCATAGCTACATAAAAATACTGTGGATGTGAAAATGGATTTCTAACTTGGTGTTTCTCTTTTTTGGCAGGTCATAAGGGAGAGCCTGGCATCCCAGGTGTTCCAGGTTCTCCTGGACTGCCAGGACCAAAAGGCATCATGGGAGAAATGGGAATTCCAGGTGGGTGAGCATTCTTATTATTAGGTATTTGCATTCCTTCCATCCATCCATCCATTATCTTTTACTCACTTCTTCCTTTCTGGGTCACGGGGGCCACTGGTGCCCATATCCAGCAGTCACTGTGGAAGAGGCAGGGGACACCCTGGACAGCTCGCAAGTCCATCACAGGGACATAAAGAGACAAACGAGACAAACAACCATTCACACTTTCAGTCGAGCTAAAACTCATTGCTGCAATAAATAAAGATGTTTTTGGAACTAAACAGAAAAAATATCCTGATGCATCTCAATAATCCAGTGCATCCAGTCCCCCGGCACAAACAGAGTAATGTTGTGTATGCTGTTCAGTGTCAGGAGGGCTGTGATCAGTCTTACATCGGGGAAACTAAACAGCCACTGGCCAAAAGGATGGCCCAGCACAGAAGATCAACATCATCAGGCCAGGATTCTGCGGTCTACACTCATCTCCAGGCCAGCGGTCACTCTTTCAAGGATGAAGATGTGCACATCCTGGACAGAGAGGAACGATGGTTTGAGAGAGGAGTAAAGGAGGCCATCTTTGTGAAAAGAAATCGTCCATCATTAAACAGGGGTGGAGGCCTCCGGGTTCAACTGTCCCCCTCTTACAATGCTGTGATTGCTAGTATCACTCAGCCCTCTGTGAACAGTAAACAGCCATCAGTGTGCTAATGACCCATTGTTAGGCTGATGGTCCTTCTTGAGCATGTGATCAGCTGGTTTTGGTTGTCAGCAGCAAACTGGTTGATCCACTCTGAGAAGGTGCGATTTAGGAGACTGAGCTGAAAACAGCACCTCAGACTGAGGAAGTCTCTTGGATGAGAGACGAAACGTTTCTAGATTTTTTTGCTTTGTTTTGTTTTTTGCTTTTTTGAATGTCCAGAGGACCAGATTGAACTTCTTTGGATAAACAGAAAAAAAATATGTGATTCATTCATTCAGCCTTTATTTGTACAGGTTAGTCTCACTGAGTCATGAGGACTCATTTACAAGAGAGACCTGTTTTAAACAACACCACGGATAAGATACACACAACAATAAACAGCCATAAATGCATATAAAATGAAACGTAAATAAAGGTAGTGATATAAAACAAAAAACAAGTTACATTATGAAACGGGGTACAATACTAAAAGCAAAGTGGTCCTAAGACTGAGCCTTGTGGTACACCACTGTTGACAGTTAAATAACTGTTCTTAATGTAAACCTTACCAGTGTTTTATGTTCTTCTGTAATATTACCACAGGACCTCCAGGCCATAAGGGTGGAATTGGTTTCCCAGGTAGGCCAGGACCCTCAGGTCAGGCAGGAATTCCTGGCGCCCCAGGACCTAAAGGTGATCCTGGTTCTGCTGGTGTTGGACCACCGGGTCTTCAAGGACTGAAGGTCACATTTTCAACTCTTTTACGTGTCTTTCTTAGCAATAGCTTAAAGGTTTTCAATGTTGTTTACACTTCTGTTCTTGTTTACCACTTGTAGGGTGAGCCAGGTCAGCCAGGATACCCTGGAGGTCCTGGTCTGAAAGGAACACCAGGACAACCTGGTCTCCCAGGTTTGCCAGGCATATCTGGTGAGAAAGGTGACCCAGGCCTCCCAGGATTCCAAGGTAAATATGGAAGTTTGCATGTTAACATTTAGTGAAAAATGTGTTTTTGTGTCTTTGAGGCTTTTTTAATGGCTCTTTAGAATTTGTATATTTACAAGTAGGCCTGTTTAGATTGGAAAGAAAAAACTGGTGTTGATTTAAAAGGAACATTTTACATGATGTAACACCAAGAGGGAAATATGAATTGTTTTAGAACCATTGTAGAAGTGTCTACTTGTTGAGTTTCAATGAAATTGAACATGAAATTGACTCATCGATTGCTTAAATGTTCTCTCCTGTTAGGCCCCACTGGTGTCCCCGGTCTCAAGGGTCTTGATGGTGTGCCGGGCGTCCCAGGTCTCCAAGGAAACCCAGGTAGACAAGGAGAATCTGGTCGATCAGGACAACCTGGACTACCTGGAGAGAAGGGTCAGCCAGGTCGAGATGGGATCCCAGGACCAGCTGGAGTCAAAGGAGAGCCAGGCAAGTCCTGGGTCATGTTGAATAAATGTTCTTCTGTCAAATTAAGTCTGGCTCAATTATGTTTTATTTTTCCACTTTAGGTATTCCTGGTTTTGGTGGTCCAGGCCCTTCAGGGCTTCCAGGTCCACCAGGTAAGTTGCCACCCATTGTACTGCACCTACACACACAACTGTTGTGACTTTTTCTTCAATAATTTTTCTTTCTGGTAATATTTTCAAAGGCATTAAAGGAGACCCTGGTCTCCCTGGTCAGCCTGGCGCTCTAGGTTTTCCTGGTTCCAAAGGAGATCCTGGCGTGCCTGGTGCCTCAGGTCCTCCAGGTATTAGTGGCCCTCCAGGACCTCCAGGGCTTCCTTTGCAAGGCCCTAAAGGTGTTCACGGACCCCCTGGCCCACCCGGAAGAGGAGGTAAAGCACCTGAACAGCTTTTTTTTATTATTATTATTCTTTGCACTGCTAGAAATTTCTGCCTGGTATTTGATGCTGGAAAACAGAAAATTATGAAAGTAGTCGTTTAGTTTTGTTTTTCAATGATTGTTAGGTATTGTGATCCAGTTCAAAATACTTTTATATTTTTATATCCAACCAGCGAAAACCCAGGCAGAAAATGGCAGAAACTAGGGCTGGACAATATGGACAAAACTTATCACGATATATTTCTTAATTTCGGTTGATAATTATATAATTCAATATCGATATAAACAACATGAAAACCTCAGAAAAACTGTACAAACTGTACAAATAAATTAATGTTCACCTTTCCTTTGTATTTAACCTTAAAAAAAAAATTGAAATCACTGTCAAATAAACAGAAAACTCTCAACTTTGTCAATATTCATAGTTTTAACTTTAAACAACAACACAACCCAACAACCCATGCAGCAAACATTTGTGTTTGCTGCATGGGTTTCTCTTTTGATACAGCTGGGGGTGTTGTTTCAAAATTTTATTGTGCGTCATCTTCTGACTCAACATTTTCTATCGAGTGGAAACTCTTCAGATGGAACAAGTTAGTTGTGTTTCCACCACTAGTTGGAACAACTCTCCGTCACATTTTGCAGCACACTGAAACCTGCAGTTTATCGGATCTTAGATAGCCGAACCACTTCCACACCGCCAAATTAGTTTTTAATCTCTTATCAGTTATGTCATCTGCTTTCTCTTCGCTTGTGAAAGCTTGTTCAGTCACATTCTGACGGTCATGGGCACTCATTTTGAAGTGTAAACTTAACGTGCGTTGGAGCTTTAGCCTAGCCCTAGCCTGCTACCGCTAACGCCTTCGAGCTGTGGTGTACGTCACCACACACTTGCATAGTTGTGTCGCGGCTTTTTCTGTTCGGGTTGAAACTGAAGCGGCCGCTTCAACCTGAACAGAAAAAGAAATGCGTCAGTGAAACGCTGTAGTTATATAAAAATATCGAAAATGTGCTTAACTCATATCACCGTTATTGAATAAAATTATATCGTGATATATATCAATATCAAATTATTGTTCAGCCCTAGCAGAAACTTTACTTTAAATAATCTTAATACGTTCATCACCATGTTTCTTGATTTGCATGAATTGTTGTTTCACCAAACCAACAAAGGAGCCATGTCACCGTCACACGAACCACAACTTCTCACCACATGTTGGGGTGTCCCCTCTCTTACACCAGTCACCGTTTTTCACCAGAATTTCACCAAGTCCAAAAAATGTGTATATTTTTCACATTATTGTGTCACATCATGTTTCGTCACTCCCTTTTCCTCTTCTGTTGATCCCCTCTTTATGGGCTGTGTAAATGTAACGTGTTTGGTATTTATGGATTTTATTTTTTTGTTTTAGGAAAATTTTGATTTTATAGAGCAGAGTCACGCACAAACTCTATAAAACTCTCAAAAAATATTTCACTATTGATTTAAACAGAGATTTTATCCCAACTCTTCTGTCATTTGTTTAGTGTGAAAGTACACGAGAGTTTAGAGTTTGTGTCTGGCTTTGCTGTTCAGACTGTGTTTAGTTCCACAAATCAAGTCATCTGCATGAAGACCATTTCTTCAAACACACATGTACATATATTGACAACAAGCCTCACATAGTGTTTGGACAACCTAACACACTGGAAAGAGAAGCATACATTTTTACTTTATTTTTATAGGCAGTTTAAATGCCACAAATGTATCTTCAAATAGAAACTTGTGAACATTTACATTTTAAATGGTCAAACAAATCACTGCAATTTGCTAATATTGACTTCTTAGCCAGCATATACCGTACTTTTCACTGCATAATTCACACATTTTTGCATAAATTAGCATGTCCTGTGACTTATTAGTTTTTTTTCCCCATATTTTAACCCAATTTTTGGCTGAGATCTGACAATTTCATTCATTGTGACATGGAAAATATTGAGCACTACCATTTTCAGCCACTAGAGGGCCCTTGAGTAAAGTGGCAAGCCAAATGTCTCATTAAAAGGTAAAAGTCGCTATTAATGAGACACTTGGCTTGCCATACAAACCACCTTCATCTCGCTCCAGAACTCCTGTAGAAAATGTCAAATCAGCTGCATTTCACTGCGCCACCCAGGTGAAATGCAGCTGATTTGACTATTAAAGTGCATTTATTAAGGGAACGTTCAACTGAGACAGACCTTTACTATAATGTTGAGCAAACAAATAATTGTTTTCAAGTGTTAAACTTATTAAATTCTTGTTAAAGTCCTCCCGTGCATGCCCCTGCAGACGATTTTTGGCACAACACCAGCCCACGTTTCCGGGTGGTCAGCAATGACGCATAACAAACGTGACGTGTCAGCGGTGATGCATAATGGATGCGACTTATACGGCGAAACAACTTATTTGTTTTTTCCCACTTCATTAGACATATTTGGACTGAGCAACTTATACGGCGGAAAGTACGGTACATGGACATTGATCAATGTGACTTATGTTTAAATTTTTTTCCCACCAAATCAGTTCATGTCAAATTTAGATATTACTGTACTCAAGTTTAGAACAGATAATAGTAAATCAGTAAATTGGGCATAATTGGAATAATTCAGTTCCTAAAACAGATGCTCCATAACTGTGTGAGGCCTGGCAAAATAATAATAATAATGTGTTTTATTGGATGGTAAAACAATGCTATGAATTCTTGCTCCATGTTTTCTGTGTATTGGCTCCACCCACTGTGGTGTGGCCCCACCCACTGTGGTATGGCTCCGCCTTTCCATGTGGCAACTTTTCCGTCCGACCTCGCAGGCCCCTCAGGTCAGATGAACAGCGTCCAGACTTCTCTTGCACGTCTCTCACTGCAGCACTGAATTCTTTTTGACCCACTGCCGGGGGAAAAACGTTGAACTCGAAAACTTCTCACATCACTGAATCTTCCTCTTATTTCCTGCTAACGAGTCTGTTCTCTTACTTTCCATGCACACTGATGCTAGGATAGTCCACTTGTAACAAGTAAGCATGTTTAAAAAAGAAACTTTCTAATGAAAATGATGCATTTGAAAAGTTTTTGATGAGTACTGTTTTGCACTTGAAGCATGTTAAGATACGTGGTGTCAAATTTCACTCTAATATTCAGATTTTAAAGCACCATGTAATTCAAAATACACCAAATTACTAACTCACTTAAGAGTTTCAATCTAAATAGTGTCACATACATTAATACCAGATATATATATATTGCCATATAATGGGTAATATATTTTGAAAATACTTGATTTTCATTTAATGAGTGTTGTTAGGAAGCAGAATGGAGCATTTTTCATAATAACCAGTGTAAAAATTCAGTTAGTCTTTTTGCATATAGCTTCAGTGGTTCTCAAACTTTTTTTTTGTCGGGCCCCCTTAAGGAGCCCCAGGCCACAAAACAAAAAATTTAAACTGCGCAAAATACTCAAATATCCACCAAGTTTACTTTAATCTTCAAATCTAAGCCCTTTGAGTGAAATTATGTGATTTTAAAGCAGAAATCCGTCAGTCTGGACAATAAAACCAGCCAGTTCAAGTCATTTTGATAACCTGTGCTGAAATTTTTAATATGTCACCCACTTGATTATAAACAAGTTATATAAAGGCTAAAAGATGAGAGTGTTGTTATATTGGACTTTAGCATGGCTAAATGGACTTGAACATAAAATAACTGCACGATTGGTAATTATTATAGGAAAACAAATTCAACAGAATTGATTCAAAAAGCATAAATTATTTAACATTTATGATAATTAAATGGGTTACATTTATCACAGTACAGTGATGTATGGTTGTAAACATAAAACCAGTTTAGTGCATTTAAATTGCAGAAACCATTTGTGTGTGTGTTGTTGTTTTTTTGTGTTAATCTCATGTTATTTTGAAATCTGCTGATAAATATGATCAACTACGATCATGTGACACTGACGCATACACAGAGAGAAACTCATCAGCATTTTTAGAGAAGAACATAAAAGGTAAAAGGAGACACGCTTTCGCTATAATCTTACCTACGCTGCCAAATTACTAGGTCCATCACTGAATCAATTCAATTACAGGAGTCCCTCATTTATCGCGGGGGTTACATTCTGGAACACCCCCCACCTGCAATAAGTGAAAATCTACCAAGAAGAAATTACATGGATTTCTGAGTTGAAACATCAAACCAAAACAGTTCAGTCAACTAATAAACTTTTACTTCAGTTTAGTTGATTTAAATTTATTTAGTAAGATAATGATAATGCTTATTCACTCAACTTAAAATTTGAAATTGAGTGAGTAGTACAGTAATGCCTTTTTACTCACCAGCTCTGCAAAACACTGCAGCTTGGTTCCGGGCCGGCTCTGTTCCGGGCCCGGCTCAGTTCCGGTTCGGCAGACCTACCCAGCCTTGGTCCGGTTCTGATCTGCTCTCTGCATCCACTGAGTGCTGAAGTTACTAAGAATACTGTAAGGACCGAACTTTTTCCAATCAGATCAAAAATTTTCCCTCCAGCAGAAAGCAGCTTTGCCTTCTGGGTAATGTAGTCCTTTAGACTGACAATAAAGTGTAGGCTTATTGAGAGGGGGAAAAAAAGGCGGTGCTTTATTTATTTATTTTTTTATTATGTATTTATTTGTTGGGGCAGCACGGTGGCGCAACTGGTAGAGCTGCTGCCTCTCAGCGAGCAGGTCCTTAGTTCAAACCCCGGTCCAGGGGCCTTTCTGGGTGGAGTTTGCATGTTCTCTCCGTGCATGCGTGGGTTTTCTCCAGGTACTCCGGTTTCCTCCCACAGACCAAAAACATGCATGTTAGGCTGATTGGTAACTCTAAATTTTCTCTAGGTGTGAGTGAGATGTGAATGGTTGTTTGTCTCTGTGTCCTTATGATGGGCTTGCGACCCGTCCAGGGTGTACCCCGCCCCTCGCACAGTGATTGCTGGACATGGGCACTGGCGACCCCCGTGACCCAAAATGGAAGAAGTGGGTAAAAGATAATGGATGGATGGATTTAGTTGTTGTGTACAATCTTACAGTACTGTACTTTGAAAAATCACAAAGAGCAAGTTCGCAAAAGTCGAAGCGCGAAGTATCGAGGGTCTACTGCATCGTCATTTTACATTTTGTCACCTAGTGTTTAAGAAACAAAGCACTCATTTATTCAACATTTATTTGATTAACACTAAAAGAGTGTTTACTTGCTTGAAACGTCTGAGAGCAGTTTAAAAATGAATAAACAACTAATCCAGCCTCACTTATATCTAATAGCTACCTTCACTATAATCTTTGGCAAACAATCATTGTTTGGCAACAAGATCTAAAGCAGAGACTCGCAGGCTGTGCACGCTCCTGCGTGCACCTGAACACTTTTTGACTCGTCTGTCCTGCAGCAACAACAAAGTGAGCATCGAGGCGTGGAGGAGAACTCTCCACTCAGCTGGGTTGACCTGAAGCTTCAGCACATTAAATGTGACAGACGTCTTCGTATCGTTAATAAAACATGAATTAACTCAGTTTAGAGATCCTTGAATAAAATCTTGATTTTAAGCATGACATACCTCTCATTTTTCCAAACGTCTGCACTTTAAAGAAAAATAAACATATTAATAGATAGATTTGTTGTTTTTGTGCGTCTGTAAAATAGGTTCAAGCTGCAACAAGGTGTTGCAAAGTTAGTTTAATCTGCAACATGTTTTGGCCGGAGGGAAGAAAAAAATACTTTCAGCGACGTCTCGCCCCCTCTGGCATGGCGCCAGCCTCCCACAGTTTGAGAACTACTGGCCTAGTCTTTAGAAAAACAATGTATTTTGTTAGAATCTCGTGAAAATATATCTGCAGTTGTGGTAAATGTATCACAGCAACTCAAAGTAATCTAGACGGCTCCAATGTGTTGTAAAATGCCAATACTGCAACAACTCAACATTACTTCCTGCTTCCGTAAAAAGAACAGTCTGGCTTTTGTTTCTGTTTCTATTTTTGTCTAAATCTGCTCTTCTTTTTTTGCCCTGTGACAACAACCTGCTTTACCTTGGAATTCTGGGAATCCTAGGTCCTCCAGGTTAGATTCAAACGGTTTCAATGTTTGATACTCATGTTGTGGTCAAAAGCTCTGAACAGGGCTTTAGATGAACGTTAAGACACTCTGGGTTTAAATGTGTCTCACTTTGTATTTTGACCTTGTCTTAACTCTACAGGACAGGCTGGATGTCTCACGCAGGACTAAAAGACATAGATACATTTTCACCCAGCGCTACACTGTTTTACAGGCTTATCTTGAAAAGACATTCAGTCCCACGTTGTGTAGGCTTTTACAGCAACAAAATATGCTTTTGTTCATTTTTTTTTTAAAGCCTGTATCTCACTGGGCTTTGACTGTTGGTGACTAGTTGGAGGAACAAAACCTGGGATTGCACTGATTGGGTATTTACGACATTTACGTACCTGTGTGAATAGATTGCAACGTTCCAGCAACTGACATTATATTTCAATTTGATTTGCATTTTCTTCTCCAGTTTGATCTTCTTGTTTCCAATAAGTCACAATATGATTCCATACGTCACTAAACTCCACCAAAGCTTTCCCACATTTCACACATGTTTTGACACAGGAAAAGTACTATGGGAAATTCAGAGACAACTGACTTTATGTTTGAGAAGAATTTGTTTGGTAAATTTTTAAGCAAGTTAAAAATTCAGGTGACGAGAGCAAGGCCCTGTGGCTCACCTGAAGAAACTGAAGACCTTTTTTGAACGTTTTAAGTAATTTTGTAAACTCCCTCAAGAATGTTGGTTGCTTTTTGTCATCAACAGTCGCCGCAAAGTGAGAAACGAGCTTTAGTAACAGATTTGATTAAATATTGGAGGGGACTGCAATATTCTACAGTTTCAGCTCTGCCATGAGATATTTCTGAGCTAAATCAAGCATCTGAATGTCTTTCTGGTTTTTATGGGCTTTTAACTATCCAGACCACAATTTTTAATACAATGTAGTAATTTTTTGTTAGATGTAGAGTTTCTCAATAGCTCAAAAAATCTGTTAGTCCAAAAGTTTCAAAATGCTAAATTGACTTACCGTAATTTTAATTGAACTGTGTGCACTGTAGTTGCTAAAGAGAAATGTAACGAATTCCAGACTTGGTGAGAAAAAAATGCCAAATATAACTGATATTTTAACATCTCCATCTGTAGGTCCGCCCGGCCCAGAAGGTCCCCGTGGACTCCCAGGAAGTGGCGGTGTTAAGGGAGAGAAGGGTAATCCTGGCACTCCCGGACAGCCTGGTTTTCCTGGACAGAAAGGAGATACTGGGTTTTCAGGAGTTCCGGTACTATTTTCTTTTTCTTTTTCAAAAATTGTTTTAGATCATTGGTTTATTTTTGAATAGTCAACAAACCTAAACAACAATAATAATAGTAATAATAATGTGTTATGTTCTCATGTGTAGGTTTCCATACAATAGCGATATTGGCTCTCTGCATTTAACCCATCCACCACCAGGTGGAGCAGTGGGCAGCTATTGAAAGTGCCCTGGGAGCAATTTGGGGATAGGGTGTGCTGCTCAGATGATGTGCCATGGGGATCAAACCTGGGACTTTCGGGTCAAGCTAGACTCGAGAATTTACCGTCTGCATTTCTTTCCTACAAGGGCCTTCCTGGTATTCCTGGTGCCCCTGGTGTGAAAGGAGACATTGGGACGCCTGGTGTTCCTGGATTTCCTGGTTCGTTCACAAATATCTTTTTTTTGTGAAGTCTGTCTTACAAAAATGGACTTGAGTCTTGGGTGATCATTGTAGACACTGCAACGGCATTATATTTTCATTTCTCCCAGGAATAAAGGGGGATCCTGGAAACCCCGGCTTAAGTGGTCTTCCTGGAGATCCTGGGAATCCTGGAAATCCTGGTAGATGAACATACAGTTTTGTATTTCTTGTTTAAAAAATGGGAACCTCAATCTTTTATACTAACAGATCAAATCCATTAAGAAAAAAATACTTATTTTTATTCTTTACTTCTAACTAGGTCCTCCTGGTGACCCCGCTATACCACCACCTACGCCAATTGTGAAAGGAGATCGAGGACCCCCTGGTCTGCGGGGCTTCCCTGGGCCCCAAGGCCCACCTGGCTCTCCTGGATCTGAAGGATCTATAGGTGGGTCAAACTGGGTTTATATGCAAGCTGAAAAAGAACAAATAAGAATATTCAGTCCAGTCCATTAGATTCATGGGTTGCTCTTTAAGATGCTGCAAATATACTTTCATGGTTTATACTTCCTGTCTGTACTGATGAACTCAAGAGGGAGAACGTTGTTGGCCTGTTGTACTTCTATAACATCCCTCAAACTAATGAAAAATGCACAATATTGTGTCCTTTACTACAGTTTACAACTTTATGCTAACATGTTAGCACATGGACATAAAGTCTTTCAAAACAGACTAATTGTTGACTAAATGTCCAATTAGTTGTGCATAAGTTTCGTTTTAATTGTTACAAAAATAATTATGTTTAACTTCAAACGTGAAGTTTTATCTCAAGGTATTCCATCCTAGTTTATACTTTTTACACGCCCAGTAATTAAAAACAAAATCCAACAAAGTTAAGTCAGGTCCTCTGAACAGTTTCTTTTTGTTGAAACGTTTCGACTTTCAACCAAAAGACTTCATCAGTCCGAGGAGCCACAATAAACTCAGTCTTATAAATAGCACCTTCATAACCAGTTTGATGGTGCCAAGATGGTTTCTGGAGTCCTTCCTCTCCTCTGTCGACTTGGCAGCAGAGAGGAAACGTTTCAAGAAAAAGAAACCGTCCAAATAGCCTGACTTAACTTTGTTGGATTTTTCTACCTGGCTTATTGAGCATGACTCAGGATAATTTCACAAGAACCTTTTACAGGTTTTCTAGTCTCTTTTTTGGCACAATGGAAATTAGGTTAGGAATATGTTAACATAAAAGCTACACCACTTTAGATATATTTTTTTACATTTATTTCTCTATGAAAAATTCTGTCCAGACAATTCAAACCAAAACACTGCAATACTGCGACAGGCCACTAGGTGGGGCAAATGTTCAGCACATTCAATAATAATGTAAAAAATTACAATTTCACCTTTTATTTTTTAAATAATTTTGGATTACATTGGTAAAATAACACAATTTGTCAAAAAGTGTTTGTAACCTGATAACTGATTCCGACAAATGTGCTGATTCATGCTCAGTAATCCAGGTAGAAAATTTTTGAAAAGTTAAGTCCGGTCCTCTGGACAGATTCTTTTTAGTTGAAGCATTTCGTCTTTTATCCAAAAGACTTCGTCAATCTGAAGAGCCACAACAAACTCAGTCTTATAAATAACACCCTCACATAGTGGATCAACCAGTTGGCTGATGACAACAAAAACTATCTGTTCACATAAAGGAGGACCATCAACCTAACGACTGATCGTTACTGCCCTAACAGCCACTTGCTATTCACAGATTCCAACATTTTTTTTATAACAGCTTTAATTGTTTTTTTTATTCCTCCAAATATTGATTGATTATCAACCAACAAAAACTGATCAACGAAACCAAACATTTTGTCGTTGCATCCGGCATTTTTTTGTACGTTAACTCAACTTGTCAAATTCTTAACTTGGAAAGGGATTAGTTATGGAGCTGTTTGTTTTATTCTTTATTTTCTATTTATTTATTTTTAACCACCCCCACCCTACTTCCCTCACCCCCAGGCCCACGTGGTGAACAAGGAGTACCTGGTAATCCTGGTCCCACTGGATTCAATGGCCCACCTGGGAAGAAGGGAGACTCTGGACCTGCTGGTCAGCCTGGTAAGCAAAGCTGAGCATCCTAATAGTTTATAGAAAAACACGACCTAAATAAATTTATTGATGTGGTCATTTGTTTTTGACTAAAATCACATTATAGGTAATTTAGTGACAGTAAGTTTTCTGTAGGAGACACTTTCTGGGCTCTTTCAGTTCCTGTTTTTGATTTATGCCTTTCCTGTTATCTCAGGTCTGCCTGGCAACACCGGCCCCCCTGGACCAGATGGTGTACCGGGTCCCCCTGGTTTTCCTGGCTCATTCTCAGCAGCCCATGGTTTCCTCATTACCAGACACAGCCAGACTGATGAAGTGCCCTCGTGTCCTTCTGGAACTCAGCTGGTCTACAAGGGGTACTCCTTGTTGTACGTGCAGGGCAATGAGAGGGCACACGGACAGGACCTCGGTAGGATAGGCCTTTATTTTGTTGAACTTTTTATTTTACTTGAAAGAAGGATCAGAAAACAACATTTCAGCAAGTAACCTACGTGTGTTCGTCTTCCAGGCACAGCCGGCAGCTGTTTGAGCAGGTTCAGCCCCATGCCCTTCATGTTCTGCAACATCAACAACGTCTGCAGCTTTGCGTCACGTAACGACTACTCCTACTGGCTGTCCACGCCGGAACCCATGCCCATGTCCATGGAAGCTGTCACCGGGGCCAACATCGAGCCGTACATCAGCAGGTAGGGAGGGAGGAGAGAGGAGGGGAGCTCCGTTATTTGTAGGAACACACCTAATGTTTAATCTGTGTGTGTCTTCAGGTGTAGTGTGTGTGAAGCTCCAGCCATGGTGATCGCAGTCCACAGCCAGACCATCCAGATCCCCACTTGTCCTTCAGACTGGGAACCTCTGTGGATCGGATACTCCTTTATGATGGTACGACTCATGCAAGCACACGTACTTTAAACGACAGCCAACACATCCACATAAAAAAATTAGTTTCAGCTGAAACGGGCGGTAAATTCTGTTTCAGACTTTGTCTTTTTAGATCGCTGAGAGGATGGAGTCAACTTTGCCTCTAGTGCACACTGACAGAAGACTATACAGTAAAGTCAAATAATAAATGCAACACAGTAGTCCCTCGTTTGTCGTAGGGGATCCGTACTCTGAAGCCCCGCGATAAGTGAAAAACCGCAAAGTAGGAAGTTTAAGTTCAAGTACAGTAAACTATATATTAAGGCTTTAGAAACTCTTCCCACACTCTTGGAACATTCTAAACTCTTAAACCTATGTCATTTTAACAACATATGTTACTAAATTTTACTTACTAGCTCTGCAGAACAGCAACAGCTCTGGTTCCGGTCCAACTCTGTTCTGTTCTAACTTGGTTTGTTTCTGCAAACCGATCCTGCAGCAATGAAGATCACAAATCAGTCCTCTAAACTCTTAAAGCTACTAATTTTAACAACATACAGTACTTATATGTACAGGAGCTACAAAATTTTACTTACAAGGGCTCTGCAGAACAGGAGCGGCTCGGTTCCGTCCGACCCGATAGATGAAAAAAAGTCCCAGCACTGAAGCCCACTGCTGCTGCTCCAGGAGCAAGGCTGCCCAGGATTTAGTCCACCACCTCTGGTCTGGTCCGGACCAGCACTGCATGACCAGAAGCAGGCTGAAGCCTGCAGCCATCTGTTCCCTGCAGCTCCCAGGATCCGGGTCACAGTGAGTCCAGATCAGCTACTTAGCAGTGAAGATGCAACTTAAAGGATGAGTTCAGCTTCAGAATTATTTGTGACTTTCCTGTCAGTTCTGTGATATTATTATCGTTACTTCTGACTTTACGTTGCAAAACTTTCCGTTTGCAGCAAGTAGCTATTGGAAACAGTGTTGACTTGAGGGAAGTGAACTGATGGCTTCTGGGTAACGTAGTTCTTTAGATTGGCAAAACAGTAAAGGCTTAATGAAAAACAAAACAAAATGGTGGCACTTTTTTTAAATAATTTTTTTTATTATGTACATGTACTGTACTTAAACAAACCGCAATAGAGCGAGTCCACGAAAAATGAACTTGGAAGTAGCGAGGGTCGCAGTTCAATTAAAAAAATATATAATAATTAATAGCTGGGGTGCAAACCTTGGTTCACTTTTTTTTAAAGCAACAGTAAGTTTGCATACTTTAAATCTGCTGACATTAATTTTTTTAAATGTTTTGTTGTATTCCACATTATTATATACATTAAAAAGCAGGGTTTCAACATAATGGAAACTTCATTATCTTAAAGGTTTACTGTGATGCTAGTAATCAAAGTCCAATTATCCAAGGAGACCCAGATCAGCAAGACTGAATATCTTTTGTTGTTGTCCCCTGTCACGGAGCAAAGAGGGGGATTTGGGAGTACCCTCTGTCCGTCTGTATTTTGAGCATGATAGCGTCAAAAATAAGCAACTTATCGACTTCCAGTTCAGTGTGTGGCTACATCTAGGCATAAGAAAGTTTTCTAACAAAAATTGGGTTGCCATGGCAAAATCTAATTTTGCTGCCACCATATATGTAAACCTACCAAGCTGGATAACTTCAAACATTAGAAACATTTTGAGGTCACTTTTGAAAATTGCGTTGCTTTCAAAATCTTAAACGTATAGTCTCCTCAAATGAAGTAGAGATGCACGATATTGGGTTTTTGGCCGATATGCCGATATGTTAAAACTTATTTGGCCGATACCGATATTTTCGATATTATATACTTTCCTTTGTCAGAACATAGCGCACTTATTTAGGCTTATTTGTTACAAAAATTGTGTAACAGCTGTAAGAGCTGGTGACATATATTCGGTAACAGCCATATGACATGCATAGCACTTTAACTTGTATTAAATGAAAAGTGTTAAATGTTATTTATTAGCATTAGTCACCTGTGATGCTGACTCACTTGTGGAGGCTTGTTCCAGGTCCCTAGCTGCAGTGTGGGATCCTCTGCTCTCTTGTGCATGAAGGACAGACTTTTTAAGTTCAAAGTTTTTGTCTATCCATTGTGCCGTAAGACTAATCATGCTAACGGGGCTAACATGACGTCCAAATGTCTGTGGCTCACCCAAGTGCTATCGGCTATTAGCTTCTCAATGATGTCAGAAATGACAGCTTGTAACTCGAGTAAAGCTACGTTGGAAAAATATCTCAGACTGGGGACGATGTAGCGAGACTCAACGTAGTCCAAAAACAACAATCTTCGGAATCCAACATCCTCACCAACAACAAAAAAAAAACTTCTACACCGCCAACATTTTTAATTTTCCTCTCCACCATGAGATCAGGTAGGCACGCATGATATCATCATGTTGTGCTGGTGCTGCAGGCATCTTTGTCACTGGGTTGTCATACAAAAACATCGTCTTTTATATCGGTGATTATTTTGATAGGAATGGCCCATGTCCAATATTGAACTTTAACGCTAATATTGGCCTATACCAATACCAAACAGATAATATTGTGCATCCTTAATATGAAGATTAATCAATGTGGTGGCCAAGGTGAGCATGAGCATTGTCCACCCCCCAACTCCACCATTGTGCTCGGTCATGGAAAACAGCTCCCTCCTCTCACCATCGCTCTGTCCTACCTTGGACAAGCAAAACATAAACTGCCTCTCCTCTTCTCCTTGTATAACTCCTGCCCATTTGAATATCTTGCACCAAAAACATTTAGGTTTATGTGAATTTCCTGTTGAATTCCAGTCCAGAACAGTGTTTCACGTTCACTGTTTAAATCCTTCGGCGATGGGGGACATCAACACACTGCTTGTTTTAAATTATACTTTTATGCTGATTCATGTTTTTTCTAGTCATCCAACACAAGTCCCACAAGTGTAGACATGTCTAACAGAGCACCAAATTTTCCACATCGATGCTTTAGAATGATTTTTAATGTGAAAATATCAACACTTGTTTTTTCCATCTAGCACACCAGTGCAGGTGCAGAGGGCTCTGGTCAGGCTCTGGCCTCCCCGGGTTCCTGTCTGGAGGAGTTCCGCAGCACTCCCTTCATCGAGTGCCATGGCCGAGGCTCGTGTAACTACTTCAGCAACTCCTACAGCTTCTGGCTGGCTACAGTGGAGCAATCTGAGATGTTCAGGTTTGTACCAACAACATGATTTGGTGATTACAGGAGCTACTAAGATGCTAGAGTAGATGAACAGAACTGTTTGCTATCATAACAGTAAAGTCAGAGGTTTTATGACTGAAGAAAAAAAACACTAGGACCCCTATACTTGGTATTTCACTATTCTCATTTTTCCATTTGTTTAAATGTATCAGTGCCAACTTGTGTATTTTTTTTAATTATATGCCCATCAAAAGATGGGCACTTTATGCTATAGTTTCCTTCGTTTGTACATACGTATGTAAACTTTCTCTTGTCCAGGCCATAACTTCTCAAGATAATTAAATAAAATGTTATACACATGCGCATCATCATTGGACAGTGTCACGTACACTTTCTTTCAACCCAGCTCCAAGGTCCAGATCACAAATCAAGCTTGGCGAGAAACAAAAACGAGCTTTTGAAAAACGCTCTTCCAAAGTAGAGAGTTAAAAACAAAAAAACTTTTATTTCAATTAAATTCAGTTTATTTATATGGCTTATGTACAAAAATATTCACATACATTATAAAAGCCATTTAGAAAACGTTATGGGGCCGAGATGGGATAGAGGCAGGGCAGCGACTCGGGACCCGAAAGTCCTAGGTTCGATCCCCAGTCATTGCACATCTCGTGGTGTCTCTGAGCAGCACACCCTATCCCCAATTTGCTCCCCGGGGACTTTCAATAGCTGCCCACTGCTTCACCTGGTGGTGGATGGGTTAAATGCAGAGAGCCAATTTCACCATTGTATGGGAACATACAATGATGAGAACACAAAACACATTGTCTATCGTATTGAAGGGGGTGGGGGGCAGAAGCTAGAGAAGGCAAACCTATGATCAGAAGGTCGCCAGGTTGACCCCTTGGAAAAGTCTATCTGTCCTGAAAATCTATCAGATTGTATTAAGAACTGCTATAAAAATAATAATAATTTGAAATGTTTTCCAGGATTTGTCCTGATTAGTCATGTTTGACAACACCAAAAACAAAAAAACACACACAAAGACAAAAATAAATGTGGGGTTGATTAATTCCAAGCCAGGAACCTCTAGTCAGTCAGAATCAGTTTCATTGTTTGTTTGTTTTTAAGGGGTGAGGGAGTGGGGTGGGGGGACAGTTAAAATAAATAATAGTATGCTACATGATGCCTAGTACCAACTTCAGCTGACTTGGATTACAAACCTTTGTATGACTTTTTTCTCCCAATAGGGATGTGCAATATGGCATAAAATTCGTATCTCAATATCTATTGTGATGGGTGGCGGTAACGATATATATCATGATGTTGTCGGTTTAAAACTTGGAAATGAAAAAATAAAAAAGCATAGGGTGTCATTTTGCCAGTATCTATTTTGAAAACTGCTATACCACAAAATAATCTCAATTAAGAAAATTCTACTACTGGGTCCAGAGAGTTTTTAAATAAAAACAAGTCAAGTATTAGGCTTCTTTCTTGTAGTGCAAAACAGTGAAAAAGATATCAAATGTAGTTTTAGCCTTATGTTTTAAACTAAAGAATATATTGTTAACTCGTGTTTGCAGTCTTGTCACATAAGAAATGAACAGCAACCCAAACCCCACAAACTGTGCAAATTACATTTTTCTGCTCATCGTCTTGACTGTTTACCAGGTCCAAATAATAGACATTTTTCCTCCTGCCTTTTTAACAAGCTCCTCCCCTGCACTCTCATCCATGCTGCCACCTGCTGCTCTCTGCTTGCTCTCTGCTTGCTCTCTGCTTGCTGTCTGCTTTCTCTCTGTTTGCTCTCTGCTTGCTGTCTGCTTTCTCTCCGCTTGCTGTCCACTTGCTCTCTGCTTACTCTGTGCTTACTCTCTGCTTGCTCTCTGCTTGCTCTCCGCTTGTTGTCCACTTGCTCTCCGCTTGCTGTCCACTTGCTCTCCGCTTGCTCTCCGCTTGCTCTATGCTTTGATGCCAGCCGATTACGTTATCAACAAGCATTACTGCGGTTAGCTGGTAGAATACAGATCTCTATAGGCTAAATGTGTATAGTTTCTACCGTGTACCATATATATCATGCATTCCTACCTCCCAATATTATCAAGGTTCAAGGTTCTTTGTCATTCGCATCACATGTGGTACATGAGGTGGAACGAAATTGTGTACTCAAGGTCCCAGATACATCAAAAAATAGCAAACATATAAAATATATATAAAAAAACAGTATACAAGGATCTAAGACATACGCTAAAAAATAATAATGTAATATAATATGGTATATTAAACAGCAGCCTGAACATGAGTCTGTTGTGAGCAGATGTGCATGGATATAGCAGCTTAAGGTAAGAAATCAGCCGCATGGATAATCAGCAGCACAGATAAAGTGTTAAATATCCAACTAAATTGTAATTCCAGTGATTTTTCTGATTTGAGTCTAACAGTCTCAGGGTAGAAGCTGTTCCTCAGTCTAATGGTTCTGTACTTAATGCTCCTCAACCTCCTGCCTGAGGGGAGCAGGGCAAAGACTGTGTGTGTGCTGGGTGAGTGGGGTCCTTCATGATGCAGGTGGTCCTCTTCCTGCATCTGGAGGTGTATATGTCTGTGATGGTGGGGAGGCTGACTCCAACAGTCTTCTGTGCAGCCTTCACCACTCTCTGCAAAGCTTTTCTTTATGCAGCTGTGCAGCCTTCATGCCACACGGTGATGCTGGAGCACAGGTTGCTCTCCACTGCACACCTGTAGAAGGAGGTGAGGACTGAGCTTCCCAGACCAGCTCGTCTCAGCCGTCTGAGGAAGTAGAGTCTCTGATGAGCTTTCTTGATCAGGCTGGTGGTGTTGTTGCTCCAGCTGAGGTTGTCATTCAGGTGCACACCCAAGTACTTGTAGCTGGAGACCACTTCCACCGCAGATCCTCCTATGTTCGAGAGGGCATAATCATTTCCTTCATCATCTTCACATTGATGTGAAGGTTGGTCTTCCTGCACCAGCTCTCCAGGTGTTCCACCTCCTGCCTGTAGCTGGACTCATCACAGTTTGTGATGCATCCAACCATCGCTGTATCATCTGCAAATAATAATAAGAATAATGCAACTGTTTAAAATCTACTTTCCAAAGAACAATGTCTTATTATAAATCTCAACCATTTTTCATTAATCCATCTTTATTCATCATCCTACAGGAAACCGCAGTCGGAGACCTTAAAAGCGGGTAATCTACGATCACGCATCAGCCGCTGTGTGGTCTGCATGAAGAGAACCCCTCACGACAGGACGTAATGTCTCAGGGCAACAAGCAGACCCACCGTTGCCAGTTGACGACCCAATCGGTAACAACATATTACCTTACGAGATGACGGAGGACAAGTTGGAGAGGTCCAGTCGACTTCTGACTTGGAAACAAGGTGGACTTCCAATGGTGCATAGTCTTCTGGGGAAAAAAATCTAGAATTGAAACAATGGTGCTACTGTGATACACAGCTTGGAAAATATGCAAACTGACTTAAATAATCTTATATTTAGTCTTTGTTTTAAAGTACCTCAAAGTAAAAAATAATAATTTTAAATTCCGATAAATGGTGCCATGATGGATGTATGACAAGAAAAGTGCATTTTTCTTTTTTCCCCCCACAAATGGGCAACTTGTTTTTTTCTTTAAACACCTTTGACACGGCGAGGAAAATATGTGATTTTGTCCCTTGGTTTGGTTCAGATTCACGAGGAGGCGATGGTTTTCACAGTTAACAAATTGGCACTTTGACTTTGCAACATCCAGGACGAGAGATGCACTGATAAGCTTTCCTTCATGAGACTGACCGCCACCTTCTGGCGTAGCTCTTCATTCTCACTCTTCCTCCTCTGCTCTCATTTTCTGTCATCTTACGTTACATTTTGAGACGCTAACTCTGCTGTAGCCCACCTGCTAATCACCTTCAGATTTTTTTGTGTGTAAGTAATGAAATGTGTATATTGTGTAAAACTGCTTTTGTTTTTAGCGTATTAGGGCTTCAGTCGTTGGCTGTTCATTACGACAGTTTTCTGTTTTGTTTTCCAAAGCTTACACACTGCTATCATTTATTTTATTGCTCATTTCTTTATACATCAACTCAGATATTGTACAAAGTAAGGCTTTTATGAATGGAACAGTATTTTATACATAATAAATATATATTTGAAAAAGATAAATACAACTACTGTATTTGGCTGTGGGGAGATTTAACTTATAACCATATGGCAGGCATTCATTTGCTCAAAAACTGAAATGCAAACGCTTTTTTTTTTTTTTAGGATTTAAAAAAATCTCATTCACTTCAACCTCTTAATTTCAAGATGTAAAATGAATAAATGATGGCTCAAATAAAGGCGATTTGCTTTTAGTCTGACTAATGTTACAAATAAATGTGCAAAAAAAAAAAAAGGCAAAGAATCAAATGTTGGAGTTGATTATAAAACCACTACGTTTGTTGCGTGTTCCTTAACATTTCCAGGTGCTGGACCTTGCTGTAAAAACAATGCTCCGGAAGTTTGGAGTTGACCTTTTCACCAATTCTTCAAAAGCCCGATTCAAGATGACTTGAATTCATTAATGTGTGAAACTGGTTCTGGTTGTTAACGCTTCGCCACGTACAAATACGATTTGTTTGTTTTAATCGGGCTCCCAAAGCCAGAACTCTTATCCCGTAGAAAACACCCCAAAAGTAATCAAAGTCTACCGGAGCATTTCTACCGGAGCTGTTTGTGAAGGGGAGGGGGAAGAATGGAGAGAGGGGGATTTTTCTGTGATTTTATTATTTTCTATTTTTTCATAACTGCTAATGTTGTCAACCTTGAATGCGATTACGGTTGTGTATTTGTCTTGTGGTTTTTTTTTTTTTCTCCTGTTTTATGTTATTCAGATGATGTTATAAAGTTTAAAAGACTGAAATAAATACTATGTCTTAAAGTGTTGTCTTTTGGAAAATGTATGTCTGTGACCAAATGAGAAATACAGTAGTCCCTCAATTATTGCGGGGGTTACGTTAGATCATGTTCAAAACTTACTTTTATTTACTTGAGTGATACAGTCATCAATTACTATTTTTCCGGTAGTTGGGTTGCGGGGACAGCGTGTCCTGAATCCTCGGGGTCTCCTCCTAGTTGGACATATTTGGAAAACCTCCCTAGGGAGGCATTCAGGGAGCATCCTTACCAGAATAAGTGCATAGGTGAGGGTAGGAACATGGACCAACTGGTCAACGGAGAGCTTTAGCTTCAAGCTCAGCTCTCTCTTCACCACAATGAACAAGCCCAAAGTCTGAAATACTGCAGAAGCTGCACCAATCCATCTGTCATTCTAACGCTCTATTCTTCCCTCACTGATTTGTGTTTGAATTTAATAGATTTCATGTTACTCCTTTCAAACTAGTGGTCTTCTTTGTCTCATATGTCCAGAGCGGTCCTTGTTTTTCCTTTAAACAGAGGTGGACAGCCGAGTCTTAGTTCGAGGAGTGGAGTGCCACTGAAACAAATTTTCAGTCTGTATGAAAGTCCATTCACTTCCAAGTGCTCCTAGCTGTGGCTTGCATTGTTTTGCGTCCACAACAATGAATTTGATGTTTCTGTTTAAAAATCCCCCGTTTGTCTGCATGAACTCAGTTCATCAGGGCCTGCCTACAGGGGGCGCTCATGACATTTCAGTTTAAATTTACGAGAAAACCATGCATTTTGTATGCATGAATGTATGTTTGAACATTATGTATGGAAATGTTATTTCTATATGCGAGACATATCTTTGCACATCAAAAATCTGGGAAAATGCTGGGAATCTGAAAACTTATCTGTTGATGCTTGGATTCTAGTATCATTTATTCCCTCTGTACATAATATATGCATCCTCACTGACTGGCTATGGAGGCCTTTAAGTATCTGATATACAGTGGGATTATTATTAGGAATTACTGCCGTGTGCATGTACCATAGGACACAGTATACTTACTGTCATCTCTGAATGTGACTCTGCCTGCCATCTAAGATGAAAAGCACTGAGTGTTTTGTGTGACAGAAATACAGTACCTCCTCAGTGGTGTAGTCTAAGTGATACACAGGTAAATGGAGTATACCCACTAGAAAAGCTTAAGAATTTCAGTATGCCCACTTAAAAGTGCCCAATGATACATGACATCATTAGACACGTGTCACTGATACGTCAAACAGCAGTTAAATGCTTCCGTAACAATCAGTATACAGAGCTTGTTTATTACATTTGCTTATCCAGCAAATTATTGTAGAATTAATATTTCTATACTTACTACTTAATACTTGGAACATGTTTTGCTTTGATACGGTTTTATAAATCCTATAACATGTTTTTAATACAAAGTCAACTGTTGTACAAAGCTTGTCATACATTTATTCAAATATAAGCATCAGCAAAATTTGGAAATGTTCAATATGCTTAAAAATCAAAATAAATTGATGATTACATTGTACTAACCAGTGTACTTTGGTTTCTAAGCACAGTATACGGACCGACCGTGGTAAACTTGGTTTTAAGTTGGACATTGAACATTTGCGCTCTGTGGCTTCAACAATGTCCAATGTCCAATGTAAAACTAACTTTACCGCAGTATACCCACTACAAAAATGTAGACTACACCACTGTACCTCCTGGAATGTCGGGATTTAAACAGGGAAGAATTTGGAAAAACGCCAGGAACTTTATTTTTTTTAACAATTTGTAAGAATCCTGATCTACTCTAGTGTTAAGTTTTTATTACCTGCTGTCATGAAATTGCCCATGTGCGTATTTTTCTGCCTTTTGTCAAAGTATCTCATGAACCAAGTGAGTACATTTTAATGAAACTCTTAGAAAGTAATCATTGAATATGCATCTACAACTTTTTGGAGTCAACCTGTTTAAAGATGATCACAACTACAAACCGGATTCCAAAAAAAGTTGGGACACCAAACAAATTGTGAATTAAAAACTGAATGCAATGATGTGGAGATGGCAAATGTCAATATTTTATTCGGAATATAACATAGATGACAGATCAAAAGTTTAATCTGAGTAAATGTAACATTTTAAAGGAAAAATATGTTGATTCAAAATTTCACAGTGTCACAAATCCCAAAAAAGTTGGGACAAGTAGCAATAAG